TAACTGTTGTTGGTTGAATTTCATCGAAACGGTATAATGGATACTGCAGTTAATGACCGCAAACGCTCAAGAGATGAAGCGTTGAATGCGATGCCAAATCCACCAGTGAAACGATCGATTATTATTGAAAAATTTGACAATTTCTTGGATAAAAGCAAAAAATACATAGCCGGCCGCGTCCCAGCTAAGTGGCATAAACAGCATCCAAGTAATCAGAAAGTCGATCAGACGGATGCAATCGATGGTGTTAGTTTTATCATTTATTGAATGTTTACTTGGCTCACAATCAGTTTGGTTTGTATTGAATTGCCAGGAACGTTTTTGCCTCAATATTATAAGATCATATCATATCCTCAATATCATATACAAATATCGTATCCTTTCTTTCGTGGCAATTTAGTGATACCTTCCACACAGCTAGTGATATTAACACACGAAATCATTGCGAGATCTTAATCTCGATTAATCGTGTTCGATGTTCGTCTCAGAAATTCTTTCAGTATTTTTGCCAAATTACTTTTTTTTTCAAATTTCATGGATTCTTTCACTGTCTCGTTACACCATCCAGCGAGAAAAATGTCTGTCTGAAATACGGTTAATAAATAATTTATCATTTAGGTAACAATGACCAAAGAAGAATTTACGGTTGTGTTGGATGTATCGCAATACTCGAAAGATGATTTGGAAATTTCCGTCTCCGATCGATATTTGATCATTAAAGGTGATCACAGTGAGCGAGCAGACGAACAGCCTAATCAACAGTCATGTCGCGTTGAACGTCACTTTGTGAGGAAATTCTTGATTCCGAAAGTGTACGATATGGATTCTACGAAGTCAACACTAGACGAAAACGGTCTTCTGAAAGTGCGCATTGTGAAGAAAGCGACCCAGGAACCGAAATTTGTTTATCACGTTCCTTTAGCTCTACCGTGTGATGGTGTTATGGAAACTGAATGAATGACGATAATACGTTGATAATTATCATTCACTCAAACGCGGATTATGAGCATGGGCTGTTTAATTATTTTAGAATTGTTCTGAAGTGTTAATGTTAATGCTGATTGCTGAATGTGCTGAGTAGACTTGATTCTACCTCTGTTATTCTATTTTATTCGGCGTTATGAGTTAAGAATTATTGCGTTGAGCATTTTCATATTCTGTGTGCTCCTCATTTTACTGTTGTATGTTTTCAAATTTCTACGCAAACCAGCGTTCGTATTTATGTATGTATATCACTACTGTTAGCTCAAGTGATGTAACACTATTTAATTTGAAATAAGATTACTTTTATGAAACTCTATTCAATTATAATTCAATTCAGACGTTTTATTCCAGTATTATTTGCGCTTCACTATTGAGGCTTATTATTGTTGTTGCTATTGCTGCTGTTATCGCTATTCATATGTTACTGT